CAAGCACGTACACACGTGTAACCTACACCCCTGTCAAGAAACAGAACATTACCATCACCCCAGAAAGTTTCCCTTCCCAGTCAGTTTCCCTTCCTTCCTTCTAGGCAACCACTGTTTTGATCTCTTACCTAGGAGAATTTCTAACTTTTCTTTTTTTTTTTGGGTGGGGGGTGATGGTTTATTTTCTGAGTATTCTTCCTAAGCTATTGTTTATACCAGGGCCTGGGACCTGCTAAACTAAAAAAAAAAAGAAGAAATTACTTCCTTTGTTTCACCTTGCATTTTGGCTATAGCTTCCCTTTCCCTGGGTCAATGCAGGGCAAGGTCTAGTTTGAAAAAGGGTGAGGGAGGATAACATATTGAACAAAGGCGCACCCACACGCACATACACTCTCCATAGTCTCGATTGTTGGTACTTTTTCAAAACCCCTAATTATGGTCATTCTCCATGTCTCTTTCCTCAATCCTCTGTTTTTCTACTTATAAAACTCTGATCTCTTATTCGCGATCCAATTAATAAATTCATGTGACACATAATAAGAGAGTATGCTAGGCATTGAGGTGATAACATTATTAACATACCACCCCCTTCCTCCAGGAGTTTGCAGTTTAGTGGGTTCCACCAACATGCTACCCATTGCTGTCGAGTCAATTCCAATTCATAGTGACCCTATAGGACAGGGTAGAACTGCCCCATAGGGTTTCCAAGGCTGTAATCTTTATAAAAGCAGACTGCCACATGTTTCTCCCATGGAGAGGCTGGTGAGTTCCAACCGCTGACCTCTCAGTGAACAGCTGAGCACTTTAACCACTGCTCCACCAGGGCTCCTTATACATGCTAACGTGCTAGCAGCTAATTTATATCTACCTTAAATCTGATCCTCCTCCTGTGTTCTCTCTCTTGATGAGTGGAACTAACAATTATCCACTTACAACCCAGAACCCTGCAAGCCTTCCTCCTCTTTCTTTTCACCAAGACCCCCACACCCTTAACCAATCAGTCACCAAGTCTACTGATTTCACCACTAACGTATTTCTCAAATGTATTCCTTCTCTCCATCCTAGTTGCTGTCAACCTAGCTCAGGGCATCCCTCATCCCTCCTGTGGACCACAACCATCCAGCTAACCTCCCAGTCACAATCAAAACTCAGTTGCTAGGAAGTCAATGGCTGATATTTTAGAGGTAGATCACCAGGCCTTTCTTCCAAGATAGATTCGAACTTCCAACTTTTCTGTTAGTAGCTGAGCGCATTAACCATTTCACCACCCAGGGAGTCTAGTCATAGTCAAGGACCCCAATAATCTCCTGCCAACCCAGCATCAGTTCCCGACGCCACCACACCATCCCTTCCCCTCCAGCAACACCATCTGCCCTGGCTCCCCACAGGTTGCCATGCTGTTCCACATCACGGTGACTTTGTTTGGAATGCTTTCCTCCTCTCAGTCCCTTTCTCCTGGTTGCCTCTAGTCACCGTTTAGGAACCCCTCCTCCACACACATACACACAAATAATCTGGTATCTTGTCTCTGTGTTTCTATGGTAACCTGTGGCCTCCTCTCATAGTGTGCCTTTCTCACCTGTCTGAGAATTTCTTGAGGTGCCTGCTCCTCTTTGTCTTCAGTGCCTGGCACATAGTAGGAACTCATTACATGCCAGGCACTGTTCTAAGTACCTTTCACACATCAACTCATTTAATCTTGTCACACTCTGAGAAAGGTGTTATTTCACAGTTCAGACAAGGAGAGGTTAAGCAACTTGCCCAAGATATGACAGTTAGAAAGTAGCAGAATTGGGAATTGAAATCAGCAGTCTAGCTATAAAGTATGGCTCTTACTCACTATGCTCATCTGCCCCTCAGCGTACCTGTGTTTGTTGAATGAATGAATGATGCTCCATTTGCACCTCCATCTCAATGTCCATAACCAAATTAAACAATTCTCTCCCAACAGCTTCCTTTCCCCACATCTGTCCTCCACTGCTCCTCCAGTGTCTCAGAGAAGCCTGGAGTCATTATTGACTCTCACTTCTGTCTTCTTCCCTCCCCTCTCCACTCCCATGCATGCTCTCATTACAGGTAGGTGTTGGTTTTTTCCCCCTTGAAACGTCTATCAGATTGGCTCCTTCCTTTCCATTGTGATTGCTTTCATTCTAGTCTGGTCTCCATCCCTTCATGACCAGATGAGCACAGCAGCTTACTGATTGGTTTCCCTGACTTTACTATCTCACTTTAGGGGGGAGGGGGGTTGTGGTTTGCATGCGTTTTTATTTAATCCTAACTACAAGCCAAGCTGCTAATCAAAAGGTTGGCGGTTCGAACCCACCAGCTGCTCCTAGGGAGAAAAATGTAGCAGTCTACTTCCGTAGAGATTTACAGCCTTGGAAACCCTATGGGGAAGTTCTACTCTGTCCTATAGGGTCACTATGAGTCAGAATCGACTCAGCAGCAGTGGGTTTTTCTTTTTTTTTTTTTTTTTACTATATATTATTAGTAGTAGATTTTTTTTTTAAGTAACTCAGGTTTAATGATTCCATGGTTTATGTTTTTATCATTTAACACATTTCTGTTCTATTAAGTCCATTCACCATCGGTAGATACTTCAGATCACCTGGCCTCCCATTCAGAACATTTAGTCAAGGTCTTCTGTACCCCAAATCCTCACAAAACAGAGCTCTATGATGAAATAACAGATAGTTATTAGTCCAGTTAGTGGCAAAGCTTTGGTCTTTAAGGTCCAAAGATCTCTAACCAGCAACGGCAGATGGGGAATAGGGTGGTGCACTGACAGTTTGAATCCAAGTTTCCTGAGTCCCTCCTTTCCACACTGCCCGGATAACAAGCCTCCTTTCCTTAAGAGCAGAATGAATCTACTCTTTTATTTGGTCTACAAGACCCCCTGTAGGGAAGGTGAGGATTGTAGATTGAAACTGGTTAGTACCTCCCTGAAGGAGTGGTCGAAATACTCTGGTGACAATCAGCTGTAAACACCCTGGTGGCGGGGACTTGGAGATTTAGCCAGAATGCTGGCCGTGGGACAGGAAGTACCCTAGGCCAGCCTCAGCTGGACTACCCCCTCCACCCCCGCACCGCCACCTGCTTTCCTGAGTGGCCACAGCACTCTTTTGGAATCCTCTGCAGCAAACCCTTCTCCTCTTCCCTGTTGCTACAAAGGCAGAAACAGCAAGGAGCAAATCTCTGAGATCTGTCCTTGTATTCGGGCAGGACTAGTGCTTACTGATCTGACTCCTCCCTGTAAGAAGCTAGGATTTTGTTTCTTTGTTAAAGTTCAACACTGAGGAGAAGATAGCAACATCATTTCCTCAGGCCAACCTTAGGCAGACTGGTCAAAGCAGGGACAAGTGTGAGAGGACTATTTTAACCCTATCCAGGCCAAAAGTCAGTCACTCAGGAAATCTTTAAGATCAATATGGTGCTCAGGGCCCTCTTGGTTGTTGATAAGTAGTGTGTTTGTTCTAGATTCCTTTGGTTGCCCTCAGGCCCTAACTAGACCAAGCTTCCGGGTACCTGGACGAACTCGCTGTTGTTTAGCCCTTTGGACTAGTAGACAATCTGTCACTATTTCAAACTTCCCAGTCCTGTTCCAGTCTGGACTGATGTCCCCAGAGAATTGGGGCAGCAGTGGGCCAGACACAGACTTATGAGATGACCAGTAAGTGCCTGGTCATTGTGCCCTGGATGAGCATTCCATTACATGTGTAGAAATGAATTCACTGAACTCCGTTGGGAGTCATGTCTACTCCTAGGAACTAAATGATAGAACCTGGCTTGAACAGGGTTTGGCTCCAAGGACTCTGCCATCTCCAAAGAGACTGGTGACCTTGAACAAGTCATTAACATCACTGTGTCTCAGATTCCTCATCTGTAAAATGGGGATAATAACAGTACTTACCTCATTGTGAGTGTAATGAGATAATACTTTGGGCAGTGCCTGACACACAGTAAGTGTTGAGTGAGCAAACCCAAACCCACCGAAGTTAAGCCGATTTCCAACTCACAGCAACCCTATAGGACAGAGTAAAACTGCTCCACTGGGTTTCCAAGGCTGTAAATCTTTACAGAAGTAGACTGCCACAACTTTCTCTCTCTGAGCGGCTGGTGGGTTTGAATCACCGACCTTTCAGTTAGCAGCTGAGCTGTTTAACCACTGCACCACCAGGGCTCCTCAATCCTCATCCACAAATCCCACAGCATATCTACCGTATGAAGTTGGACAATAGTTCTGTCCAAAACGCTTTCTGAAAGAGCTCTTGAACCATAGTTGAGAGGAAGTTACCATACAATTGTCACTTTCTTAGACCCTCAAAAATGGTCTCTCCTAGGAAGCACCATACGTTGTCGGAAAAATTTTCCTTATGTGGTCATTTGCAGAACGTACAGCAAAAGAAAATACACCTCAGTCTGGTGGAAAGTATACAGAATCTGTCCAGGCTGTGAGACCCCAGCAAATCTTGAAACCTCTCTGAATTTCTTATCTACAAAATGGGAATAGTAACACCTCTGCCACAAGAATATTGAGATAATACGTATCCAGCCTTTAACACACTGTCTTACACATGGTAAGACTTACATAAACAAATTGTGTCACATTATTATAACCAGATAATGCATATGAACATGCTCTGTTGAAGATGAAATGATTTATAAATCACCTATTATTAAAACCAAGTATTAAAAGTAAAGGTAAAAGGATCGTGCAGATCAACACTACTACCGCTTATTCCATAGGGAAACAAACATCTCCTCCCCCTTAAGTCTGAGGGTAGAGGCCAGGGATGACTGCTTGGGATCCGCGGTCCCCAGAACCCCGCCTCCCTGGTCGCGTGACGTTGTTCACTAGCCCCGCCGGCGATAGGCGGGGCTTGTCCTGGTCACGTGATCGCGGGTGCGGAAGTGGTGCTGCGGCCAGAGTTCGTGGTTGGCCGCTACGGAGGGTCCCGGGGGTGGGGTCAGGCCTGTCGGACGCGCCGGGAGGAGCTGGGGGAGGAGGCTGCCGCGGGGTCCGGCACCAGAGTCGGGATCGATCCGCGACGCCAACTGAGCGCTGGACCTGCGGCGGTCCCGTGCACCCGGTCCTGCGCGCGCGCTCGCTGCTCTGGATCCTGCAGGCCGAGGCGCCGGCGGCTGCGGGAGGCCGGTGGGTTGGGCAGAGGGAGGCCAGGAGGGCGCGGGCACCCTGTGCTTGGAGCAAGCGTGAGGCGGCCAGGGGCCGGGACGCCATGTCCATGGAGGACCCCTTCTTTGTGGTGAAAGGGTGAGTGTCGGCGAAGGCTCCAGTGCAGAGGGGGCGGCTGTGCTGCCTGCCCGCACCTCTCCGCTCCCCTCGCTGTAGGGGGAGGGAAGCCAGTTGAGGCTGAGGAGGGGGCAGTGGGGACGGCTTAGCCTTGAGAGCCATGACCAAGCGTCCAGAGACATCGCTTCCCTGCCCTACCTGGACTGTGAAACCTGCGCTTCCAGCCGAGCCCCTCGTAGGGACCTCGTTTTGGCCTGTTAGCTGCGGTACAACTTATTTGGGGGTGGAGGGGTTCAGCAGCTCTGCAGGTGGGGAGAGGCAACAGGCCCTAGCCAAAACAGGGATTATAGTCGAGCTTGGCACTGTGCTTCGAAGGAGGGAAAACAGCATCTGCGCAGGAAAAGGGAAATGGACCTCCTGAGCTTTGTAGTTAAGAGTTGACGGGGGTGAGCTCCCATTGTCCATTGAGTTTGGAGCACTCGCCCTCAGACTGGTGACACCACAACATGCCCAGAGGCGTCTGAGCGCGTTTGGAGGGAGGGACGCGGGGGCGGGTGTTGATCTGGGAGGTTGGGGAGCGTTGCACCGGAAGACAACTCAATTCATTGGGGGAGTTTTTACTGAGTGACGTGATGAGAGGAAAACAGTCGTTCATACCCAGTGATGATGTTGGAAGGAAAACAAAATGAAATCAGCCAAACTAAACTTTCAGCTTTCTGTTAGCAACCGGGATTTTCCCACAGTGCTAAAGGAAATGAGTGGTTTCTTTTAACTCCCTGATTTCACTCGGGCTGTCTGACAGGTTCCCCCCACTTCTTCTTTTCAGAATAGAACTGCCTTAATTTATTTTTCCCTGTTAGCCGTCAGGACTCCATCTTTGATTGTTTGGAGGTAGAAACTTTAATTTCACTTTGTTATATCAACTTTATAGTCATTAACCAAACACATGAAAGATCTGATATGGTGACTTATTTCTAATAACTTGATAGCTGTATGTTTTAAATGTCAGATTTAAGCAAAAATCTAAGAACTACAAAGATCCCACAAGATCAGTACTAATAACCATAAAGTACCCCTTTGCTTTCAACCAGTTGCTACTAGCTCCCTGTTTCTGTAGTGGTCAAAGCTGACCAGTTGCTTGGGTGTTCATTGTTTTTAAGGTTTCTCTTATCCTTTATTCTCAGAATATCTAAGTAGTACATTAGGTAAAATGCTTTATTATGCATGGTACAATACATTTATACTACTACTTCCCATTTTCCTGGAAAGGTTTTTCTTCACCTTACTTTAATTTAGGTGGTGAAATACTGAGTTGTAGACTTACTAAAAATATGTGGCTCTCTACCTGGAGAATGTGTTATTTACTAGAAAGATTGATTTAGGGGTATATTTAAAAAATTTTAAACTGCGTTTTTCCTTGAATGAAAGTCTTTAATGCTTAGGTTACAAAGGTTATCTCTTGGCAGTGGAGATCAAAGATAATCAGTTTTTTTGTTTGATTTTTAATGGAATTTGCAAAAACCCTAAATTGCTTTGCCATCTTGACATTTTCCACTGATTGTATGCAGTACAGTCTACCAGTGCTTGTTCATTGACGAGATATCACTGCTTTATTGGAACATTGGGTTGGAGTTTTGGTTAACTTTTCTCAGTATATCATTTTAGCTCATGCCCTTAAGATAGTCTGAAGGAAGAGAGACTCTCAATGTCTTCTGCAGCGGAAAGATAAAGTCAGCTATGTGGATGTCTTCAAATTGTGTGATGGCATATTTGGGGAGCCTTGTACCTCCTTTGGAGCCCTGGTGGTACAGTGGTTAAGACTCGGCTGCTAACCAAAAGGTTAACACTTCGAATCCACCAGCTGCTCCTTGGAAATCTATGGGACAGTTCTGCTCTGTCCTATAAGGTCGCTATGAGTCGGAATCGACTCAGTGGTGACGGGTTTGTTTGTTTTTTAATCTCCATTGAAGCCCTGGTGGCTCCGTGGTTAAGATCCTGGCAGCTAACCAAAAGGTTGGCAGTTTGAATCCACCAGCTGCTCCTTGGAAACTCTATAGGGCAGTTCTACTCTGTTGTATAGGGTCATTATGCGTCAGAATCGACTTGATGGCAATGGGTTTTTTTTTTTGGTTTGTACCTCCATTTACTAAATGTATTGAAAATGCATCATACAGTGTGGAAAAATTAAGTCACCTAAGTTATGGCTCTTAGCCTAGGAGTTTACAGTCTAATCTGGGAAACAGTCTACTCCCAAACTAGGTAGAAACGATACCCCTAAACTAAGTAGAAACGACAAGCAGTAAACGATTAAATGCTGAAGTGAGTGCTACAGAAAATAAGTGCCCCAGAGTTCAGAGAAAGGCATCTTATTAGGAATTATTATGGTTGGAAAAGCCTTTTGGAGGTAGTAGTAGGTCTTGAAGGAGCCCTGGTAGTACAGTGGTTAACACTTGACTGCTTACTGAAAGGTCGGCAGTTCAAACTGACCAGCCACTCCGCGGAAGATGTGGCTGTCTGCTTCCATAAAGATTACGGCCTTGGAAACCCTATGGGGCAGTTCTGCAGTGCCCTGTAGGTTTACTGTGAGTCAGAATCCACTCGATGGCATTGTTTTTCTTTTTTAAAGTAGGTCTTCTTGAAAGGAGCCCTGGTGGCACAGTAGCTAAGCACTCGGCTGCTAGTTCGAATCCCCCAGTCACTCCGTGGGAGAAAAGACCTGGTGATCTGCTCCCATGAAGATTATAGCGTAGAAAACCCTATGCGAACAGTTCTACTCTGTCACATGGGGTCATTATGAGTTGGAATCAACTCAGCAGCACACAACAGTAGGACTTGAACTAAGTTTCGAAGATGAGCAGAGTTTAGATAATTCAGGCTCATCTCTCATTTGGATTGTTACCAAAGAGTCTCTTAACTGGTCCTTCTGCTGTCAGTCTCTTAGCTCTTTGATCTGCCCTTGGATCAGTCTAGACCAGCACTGTCCGATAGAAATATAATGCAAGCCACATATGTCATTTTATATTTTCTAGTAGTCACATTCAAAAAGCAAAAAACAGGTGAAATTGATTTTAATGTTTTATTTAACCTAAATCTTCAAAATCTGGTGTGTATTTTACACTTATATCTTAATTTGGATGCTAAATTTTCATCAGAAATACTTGATCTGTATTTTGATTGCATTAAATTTACAGTTGAAAAAGTAGATTCACATACCCAGGTTTTTCCAAATATACTTCAGAGTTTTCCAGTAACTGAACTGCATATGTTTTAACTTGGTTAAAATAAAAAAATAGTTTCTCAGTCACACTAACCACATTTCAAGTGCTCAGTAGTCACGTGTGGCTTCCGTTTTAGATGGCACAGGTGTAGCTTTCTAGAACTCAGGCAAGAGTACCCTACATAATATTTAGTGCAGCCCGTTGCCTACAGAATAAAGTCCAAATACTTTATGATCTGCAGCCGCTTCTCTCCCCTGCCCTCTGCTCACTCTTCCCTCAGTGCTCTAGCGATGCCAGACTCAGTACAGTGACCGTGACAGCAGTCACTGCATGCTCTTGTTGCAGATGCATCCACTCTGCCTGATTGACCCACTCAACTTTCAGAATTCATTTTAAGCGTGTTCACTGCCTCCATGAAGTGCTTCTCTTGGTACCTGTAACAGATTATTGCACCTCTTCCTCAGGCTGTCTCTCATTATTATACTGTGAGCTCTGAGACTATTTTTCCTATACTCAGCCCAGCACCTTGAATATATAGTGTAGATGTTGAATGAATACTGTTTGTGGTGGTGGAGGTGGTAGTGGTGGTGGTAAGGGGTGATGTGTCATGGGTGGGAACAGCACCAGCAGAGACCCTGAGGTGGGCGTTGTGTGTTTAGAAATCATCATGGAGAGCAGCCCAGACGGAGTAGGAAGTTTTTTGGGGAAGTAATATTAGCTAACATTTAAAGATGTGTCTCCTATGCCAAGCATTATGTGCTAAGTAAGCACTTTCTGTGAGTCTTTGTTTAGTCTTCCTGGGTACTAGCCACATTTTAAAGACAAGCTTGAGGAAGCACAAAACCAAAAAACCAAACCCACTGCCGTCGAGTTGATTCCAACTCATAGCAATCCCATAGGGTTTCCAAGGCTATAAATCTCTGCGGAAGCAGACTGCCACATCTTTCTCCCGTGGAGCCGCTGGTGGTTTTGAACCGCCAATCTTTTGGTTAGCAGTCGATCACTTTAACCACTGCACCACCACGGCTCCTTATGAGAAAGTACAGAGAGGGTAAGTTACCTGACCAAGGTCACACAGCTGTTAAGTGGTAGACCCAGGATTCAAATTTGAACAGTCTAATTCTACTCGTACTGTTAACACTTAACATTACCAGTAGAATAGGGTCAGGTTATGCTGGCCTGAGGAAAACCTCATCTTGAGGACATTAGAGATTTTAAAGCAGGGGAATAACATGAAATTAGGTTTTAGGAATATTGATTTGGTAGCAGTGTTGGGTGTGTCAGTGTGAGGAAAAATTAGAAAGCTGTTGTAATTTAAGCATGACATAATTAGCCTGAGTGTTTGAGGCTCCTTTTATGAGGTTTTAACATTGTTGGTGTCTTGTTCAGAGCAGAATCCCCAACCCCACAACTGGGCAGCTGTACTTTTAGGGCAGATTTGGTCCTGCCTGCCCCAGACGTTCACGGTGTATCACAGAAGATTTGCCCAATGCAGTACGTTGTTTTAGCCCTCTTCATTCCTGACTCTGCACTCTCCTTCGGTCCCAAGTCCAGTTGGTCGTCGCGTCCTGTCAGTGTTACCCCTTGAATATCTCTGGAGTCTCCTTTCTATTTGTAGTTCCTCTGTTCTACTTCATGTTCTCCTCTGGACCCTTGTGAGCAGCTCTTCAGCAAGCCTCTCTGCCACCATGCCAGTCTCTTCACAGTGCTACCAGATGTGACTACGGAAACGTGATGGAGTCATTTCTGCATTCAGAATCTTTCATTCTAAAGTATTTGTTGAGTGTTGTCTGTGTGCCAGGG